GAGGAGCACACTCCTCCCTGCTTGTTGATTTTGTCTGTCAGTGCTTACACTACTTTGCCTGTGAACTGGGGAAGAAACACTTGGCAAGCTAAGCTGACAGAACTGATCTCCCTGATGTTTATATGCAAGGAAAGCTCTTCTTGGGACCATAGGCCCTGTGTTCTGAGGCAATCAAGGTGGGCTCCCCAACCTAGGAGTGAAGCATCCAACACTAGGGACACTGACTGCTGGGGGGTGACAAAGGGAACGCCCACCACTGCCGACTGGGGGGGGGTCCTTCCACCAGTTGAGGGAGGCAAGGATTGGGGCTGGAACAGCAAGTACTGAGTCCAAGTGGTGTCTGTTTGGTGAGTACACTGAAGCTAACCACATCTGCAGGGGCCTGAGATGGTGGCCTTGAATGCCAGACCATGTAAGTGCACGCGGCCATGTGTCCCAGGAACTTGAGGAAAACCCGGGCTGTTGTGACTGGGTGGACCATGGTCTTGGATATCAGGTCCGACATTGTCTGGAATCGAGCCTCTGGAAGGAAGACTCTGACCTGGGTCAAGTCGAGCACTACCCCAATAAACTCTATTCTCTGAACTGAATGAGAGTTGACTTTTGTTCGTTTATCAACAGGCTCAGGGCTTGGAAGGTGGCTTGGACCTGATGCTGTTCTTTACTTGGGCCTCTGAGCAACTCTTGATCAGCCAGTTGTTGAGGTATGGGTAGATTTGAATGCCTCGCCTTAAGATAAAGGTTGCTACCAGCGCTATGCATTTAGTAAAAACCTGGGGGCTGCAGATAGGCCGAAAGGGAGAATGATGAATTGGTAATGAGTCTGATTTACTATGAACCGGAGGAATCTTCTGTGGCCAAGGAAGATGGAAAAGTGAAAGTAAGCGTCCATCAAGTGGAGGGCAGCATACCAGTCCCCTGGATCCAGGGAGGGGATGATGGAGGCCAGGAGAGGAAGAGGTCTTCACTGGAGAAGGGGCTTCTTCCTCTTCTTCAGCCTCAACTACTTCCATGGGGTTCATGTCCTGTGTATTGGTACCAGGTTCGGTACTGGAGTCAAAGTCCAGTGCCGAGCAGAGTGGTGCAGAGGCCCTCCTCACGGAAGCAACCAAGTATGACTGCTGAGAAGATGAGCCCAGTACCAGGAGAACGGATTCCAGAATGGCCATTGCATAGGTCACTGTCCACCAGGTACTGGTGGGGGGACCCGCACCAGGGTCGGGTGGCATGTAAGATGGCTACCAGTCTTCTTTGGATGAATGTAGAGCTCCATCTTGGACTCAGATGAAGAATCTTCCTGAGGTAACCACAGGGGAGCGGTACACCTGACTTCCGATGATTATTGTCAAGGGTCCGGGTAGAGGTGCTGGACTGGGGACGATCTCCTAGAAGAAAACAGGGGGGCTTGCCCCTGGAAGGTACTGAAGATCCAGTTGCGGTGAAGGAACTCAGAGCACCATGCTCTCTCCTGCTCGTGCTGGCTGGAGCCAACAGTTGTCTCATCGGAGTCGGTGGTACTGGGAGCAATAATAAGTCCCTGGCCACTGCAGAGGTTTCCAGGGTTGAAGGCACCGTGATTCCGCTGGTGCCACAATGACTTTCTGGCATCGGCGGGGGGTCCTGCACTGGACTCAACATTCTGGGAGAAGTTGATGGTGCCACCATGGGACTGGGGGTGGAGGAGTGGCCCGACAAAGGTTGCACTCCACTGCTTTCCCCTTGCTTGCCTTTCTTCGGCACCAGTGAGTGCCCTCTTTTTATGTTTCTTCTCAGTACCGGACATGGAGAACGGTGCCGGGATATGCGCGGTGTCAGAAGAGCACTTTGCACTGAGATCAAAGTGCTTGATGCCGAATCTGAGTGGCTTGGCTTTGAATCCAATCTAAGAGCATCTTCCATTAGGATAACCCTCAGTCAAGCCTCTCAGTCTTTCTTTGTATGAGGCTTAAAGTCCTGACAAAGCTGACAGCGCTCCCAGACACTTCAGACAACTGCAGTGCCACAGGAGGAACAAGGTTTGAAGCCCAGGGACTGTGTGTGGGGGGAGTATGCCTGGCCCAAGGGGCAAAGGGAGTCCCTCAATGATAAAGGAGGGGTTCTAACTATCTATACTAGTATTATTTACAATATTTACACTTCAATTAAACTAAGACTAATAAACTGGGATACAGAGAAGAAACCACTGAAAAAAGCCTTGCTGAAGCAAGAGTTGTTGCTCCAGCAATCATCATGGGCGGTGTCCACGTCCAAATATAAAGGGAAGAGTAACCACCTTTCTGTATACAGTGCTATAAAATCCCTCCTGGCCAGAGGCAAATCCCTTTCACTTGTAAAGGGTTAAGAAACTAAGATAACCTCGCTGGCACCTGACCCAAAATGACCAATGAGGGGACAAGATACTTTCAAATCTGGAGTGGGGGGAACAAAGGGTTTGTCTGTCTGTGTGATGCTTTTGCCGGGAACAGATCAGGAGTGCAGCCTTACAACTCCTGTTAAGTTAGTAAGTAATCTAGCTAGACATGCGTTAGATTTCCTTTTGTTTAATGGCTGGTAAAATAAGCTCTGCTGGACGGAATGTATCTTCCTGTTTTTGTGTCTTTTTGTAACTTAAGGTTTTGCCTAGAGGGATTCTCTATGTTTCGAATCTGATTATCCTGTAAGGTATTTACCATCCTGATTTTACAGAGGTGATTCTTTTACCTTTTCTTTAATTAAAATTCTTCTTTTAAGAACCTGATTGCTTTTTCATTGTTCTTAAGATCCAAGGGTTTGGGTCTGTGTTCACCTGTACAAATTGGTGAGGATTCTCATCAAGCCTTCCCCAGGAAAGGGGGTATTGGGCTTGAGGGGATATTTTGGGGGAAGACGTCTCCAAGTGGGCTCTTTTCCTGTTCTTTGTTTAAAATGCTTGTTGGTGGAAGCATAGGATTCAAGGACAAGGCAAAGTTTGTACCTTGGGGAAGTTTTAACTGCAGCTGGTAAGAATAATCTTAGGGGGTCTTTCATGCAGGTCCCCATATCTGTATCCTAGAGTTCAGAGTGGGGAAGGAACCTTGATACGTGATAAGAGGAACTGAGAGGGTGCAAGGTCGGCAACAGCCCTTATACTGGTGCATATGTGTGCAGCACCAAAGGGCGCTAGAGCCAGCCCGATGGATACCACTGAGGGAAAACTCTCCAGCAATGGTGCACACACACCTAACAGGGAATGAACATGAGCAAGCACGCAAAGAAGAAGGACAAAATCTGTAGGTGCAGTGTGCTCTAATGGTTAGAGAAGGCAAGTAGGAGTCTGGACTCCTAGGATCTGTTCCTGCCTCTGCAACCTTATGCAGGTCACTTAACATCATTTTGACTCAGTTTAGCTATATCTACCTGTAGAACAGATTTAATAACCTAACAGGTCTTTCTTTTGCCTGTAAACTTCATAGATATTTAGAGACAGAGAAGTGTTTTGAGATCCTAGCTTGGAGGACGCTATATAATTGCTAAGTATGATTTAGTTAGTTATGCCTCTTGCAAGTTCTCTGCAGAACAAAGAGCATGACTACGGGCACATGCATATAATACCAGATTTGCATGCAATATTGTGATAGTTTCACACACAAATTAGATGTGTGAAGTTGTGGAGATGGCATCCACTTTTGAGAATCTGGCCCTACAAGTAACGTTCCGTGTTTGTCACGGAGGTAATGGAAGTCACGGATTCCATGACTTTCCGTGACCTCCATGACTTCTGCAGCCGCCGGTGCACCTGGGCCGGGAGCCGCCTGAGCAGCTTGGGCAGCCGCTGGGCCAGGCCCACCAGCCACTGCTGGGGAAGTCTCGGGCCCTCCCGCACCCTAGCAGCAGCAGTTTGGGTGTGGGGGGGGCTCAGGGCTGGGGGTTGGGGTGCGAGGTGGTGCTTACCTGGGGGCGGCGGAGGCTCCCTGGAAGGGCGACAGGAACTCTCCTCTGTCAGGTCCTACTTCCACGTGCTGCCTCTGCCTGCAGGAACCATCCCTGCAGCTCCCATTGTCCTCGGTTCCCAGCCAATGGGAGCTGCAGAACCGGGGCTTGCGGTGGAGAGGAGGCAGCATGTGGAGCTAGGGTCCCCACTTCCCAGGAGCTGGGTACGGAGCCTGCCCCAGCCCACCCACCCCCCACAGCACCCCCCAAGCACCTGCACTCCCCCTCCCCCGAGCACCCACGGTGCCCCCCCGGGCCGTGCCCCCAGCACCTGTGGCATCCCCCCCGTCCCCAGCACCTACAGCGCCCCCAGGGTTACCCTCCCGATCTGCCACCCGCCTCCCCAAGTTTTAGTCAGGGGTATATAGTAAAAGTCATGAACAGGTCACGGGCTGTGAATTTTTGTTTACTGCCCGTGACCTACCCATGACTTTTACTAGAAATACCCATGACTACAACGTAGCCTGAGTTGTAAGTAGAGCAGGGTGTACTAACAGCAGCCTATATCAATCTTTCTGTTCATCATTTGCACTACTGCATGTTCCATTTCACTTTAGCTGCCCATTTCACACTTTCCGAGATTGACAAAAAACCCTGTTTCTTCCAGCCTAAGACTGTCTGGGCTCCACTGTTGACTGTGTAGTATCTGTGTGCAACCCATGCTCACACAGTATGGCTCGTTGTCTCCCTCTAATGGCTAGAGCATGTAAAGATGTTTATGCTACTCCTTCCATGCGACTGAACCTGGTCTTTCAGTTCAGGGAATAGATGCTTATGCTCAAGAGGTCCCAGGTTCAGTCACTGCCACCACATTGTCCAGGGATGTCATTACCCATGCATACCATAGGCAGAGGCTTTCCTTCCAACAAAGCCACGTTGATCTTCCTCTAGTGTTTTCTCTCATTGCTCTGTGCAATGTCTTAAAGGCATTCCTCTGTGCGTGTCTCAGAACGCTTTATAGCTTTGAGTTATTCCCTCACCTACCTCTGGACCTCAGCATAGAGTTGATTAACTCACACTGCTTACAGCAGCACCTGATGAAATGTACTTACCCGTTCGGCAGAATTCATCAGCCTCCTGGTGCACCATGTCTTTGACCCGATTGCTGTAGGTCAGCCTGGAGTCTTGATCGTAAGCCTTCAGCGTCTCACTGGAGCTGTAGGACTTTTGCGGTATTTTGCTGTCTTCGCTCTCTGCCGAGGAGCTAGTGTAGCGTCGCTCGGTGTCACGGCGCCTGGTCAGAGATCGGTATGGTTTTCTCTCTTTCACATCCATGGCACTTTTGTCTGCGTCTTCAACATTAAAGTAACAGTGTTTGTGTGGTGATCAGATTGGAATAATCTGAAAGAGAATATAAAAGAGAGGTGACCTGAGTTCATCCCATTAGACAGCGAAGAGTTGGGTTTTTTAGTTTCAGCTTTTTATTCAGTCTTACAATATGCAAAGGAAAGGGTATCTAATGGACCACTGGGAACTCACTTATAACAACTACTGATAAAAGGAAAGTATCAGTTATCTGTGTCCCAAACCATGCCTTGTACCTCTTGTTTATAATGGCAATTACTAAAAGAACTGCTGCTAGGCACAGCAATAAAATAAATAAACAAATAAATACTTTTTAAAAACCAACCATTTGTTCCTAGCATTAGTATGTTTCAAATGTGAACGTGGCTGAGATTTTCAAAAGTGATCAGCAATTTTGGTTGCCTCGTTTTTAGTGCAGCCCACTTCTAAACCCCTTACAGGAACCTAATTTTCAGAAAGCACTGAGCACTTAAGCACTGAAAATTCGCTTCCGGCACACTGCCCTGCTAGTAGAAGCCTCTTGATGTACCTGCTCTGTGGACACTCTAATTCAGAGTCCAGGCTGTCAGTTTGGCCCATGTCACCAGCTCTCAGCTTACTATTACATACATAAAAATGAAACAATGTGTATTTTGTTGGTATCTAGGTAATAGTCCTCCCCCTAGTCCTCCGTCAGGTCTATTCTATAAATCCAGACCTCATCGTAAATAACAGATCTGCACTGCAAACTGAAACTTTACTTCTGAACATCCTCATGACGGTTCCCTTTTAAAGTAATCATTACTCCCTTCTGCTAGTTTGGGACACCTAAAAAAAAGGAGGCACCCATATTCTTAGTCACATTTGTATATATGGGTCTATATTTTAAGAGGGTCTTTATGGAGTATTTTAGGTTAGAGAGACTGACTAGGAGAGAAAAAGAGCAAGAAAACAAGCCACCCGAGTGCTGGGGAGTGGAAGAATGAAGTGTGAGTTTTAGAAGGAGCCCAGACAAAGATGTCTGTGGAGGCAGATGCTCCTCTTCACTTCCTTATTTGAAATGTTGTTATGGTACTGAGTGAAGTTGAGAAGCTGCAAATAGGAGAGGGTACCACTGCTTCATAGCTCGTAAGTGTGGATGTTGTTCCTCTCACTATGCCAGACAGAATATATATGCACAAGCACAAGGGGGCACGCGCACACATACAAGAGAAACTGGTATGAGAAATAAACACGAAAAATATTTTGTCAAAAGACTTAATTATTGAAGTAGATCAGCTTTTCACTGTAATAAAATTACTTGCAACATTATTTACAGGGGGCAATAAATCAATGCATATTGTTGCAATGGCTGTAAAATATGTCTCTATGTTTCCAGACTGGTTTACTGTGCTCAAGAGAAACCAAATATTGAAGACAGGCGTACGCAATTATGGCCTGATGTACTCTGGAGCTGAGCATCACATCTCACACTATATACAATAGGCACTGAAGATGAACCTCGGTATATCAGGCCAAGAGTGGTTAATAAAGACCCACTCATTTCCCTTTATTTTTTGAGAGCAAAGGAAGGACAAATAAATACCTCCCATTTCCAAGGCTTGCCATACTGAGTTTAACATACTTCTTAAATCAAAACATACTGTGGCTTACACTCAGTTTGGTATTTATTGCAAGATTAAAAGAGTGAATGGAAATATTTAATTATTATTTAGAAGGGGCAAAAGTCAATCAAAAATCAAAGTATTTGCACTGAGGGAAAACCTTCAGTACTAGCACTCAGGGAAAGTTTTGCGAGGGGCAGATGACAAATATTTAAACTCCAAACACTGAGGTTAACAACAAAATCCATAAAAATAAATTTAAAGCCTGACACTCCATGTTCATTTCAGCCAGTGGTGTCTAATCACTGCAACACAACTACAACCTCTTGGCCAAGACTGTATGGACTATCAGTTTAATATCTGCTCTGTGTCTTGTACTCATAGCGAAGTGGACTAGGTATAATACATAATTTATAGCTCTAACATCTGTGCTCCTGAATTGCATCCTATAGTCATGTTCTGACAACTTACAATACCAAGGCACAACCTGGTGGTTCAAAGATGGCATTTTACTGTTAGCTCACTTTCAACATCAGCAGTCCAGTGGAAGGGAGTTAGAGCCAGAGAGAGGCAACTGGATGAAGCACGCCAGTGATTGGCAGTGAAAAGGTGCATCTAGAACCAGGGAGGAAATGGGAGGACCCATCTGTGGGTCTGCCACTGTGGCTCTGTTGGAACCACATTCTGGGTTTTCCTGGCATTTAGATCCTAGACTCTATCATATTGTCGATAGTGGCTATTGTTGGTAGAGACGACTAAGGGGAGATATGATAGAGGTCTATAAAATCATGACGGGGTGAAGAAAGTAGATAAGGAAGTGTAATTTACGTCTTCTCATAACACAAGAACTAGCGGTCAGCAACTGAAATTAAGAGGCATTTAAAACAAAGTAAGTATTTTTTCACACAATGCACAGTCAACCTGTGGAACTCCTTGCCAGAGGATGTTGTGAAGGCCAAGACTATAACAGGGTTCAAAAAAGAACTAGAAAAATTCATGGAGGATAGGTCCATCAATGGCTATTAGCCAGGATGGGCAGGGATGGTGTCCCTAGACTATGTTTTCCAGGGAATGGATCACAGGATTACCTGTTCTGTTCATTCCCTCTGGGGAACCTGGCATTGGTCAGTGTTAAAAGACAGGATACTGGGCTAGATGGACCACTAGTCTGACCCAGTGTGGCCGTTCTTATGTTCTTATGAGGCCCCAATTCAGCAAAGCCCTTAAGACAAACAAAACTTTAAGCATGTGTTTAAATCCCATTGAACTCCGTGACTTAAGTTAAGCACATAGTTAAGTGCTTTGCTTAACGAGGATGGGATTACTCACCTGCTTAAAATTAAGCACGTGCTTCAGCACTTTGCTGAATCAAGACCTGAGAGGAATGAGAAATGAGGATGAGAAGTTGTCTAAAAGAAAGATGATAAACTGTAGCTCAGAGGTGGGCAAACTACGGCCCGTGGGCCACATCCAGCCCGCGGGACCCTCCTGCCTGGCCCCTGAGCTCCTGGCCAACGAGGCTAGCCCCCAGCACTTCCCCCGCTGTTTCCCCTCCCCCCGCAGCCTCAGCTCACTGCGCCGCCGGCACCATGCTCTGGGCAGGGGGCTGCGAGCTCCTGGGGCAGCGCAGCTGCAGAGCCTGGCCTGACCCAGGAAGTTTTTGGAAAGCGTAGGGGACAATTTCCTGGCGCAAGTGCTAGAGGAGCCAACTAGGGGGGGCGCTTTTCTTGACCTGCTGCTCACAAACCGGGTAGAATTAGTGGGGGAAGCAAAAGTGGATGGGAATCTGGGAGGCAGTGACCATGAGTTGGTTGAGTTCAGGATCCTGACGCAGGGAAGAAAGGTAAGCAGCAGGATACGAACCCTGGACTTCAGGAAAGCAGACTTCGACTCCCTCAGGGAACAGATGGCCAGGATCCCCTGGGGGACTAACTTGAAGGGGAAAGGAGTCCAGGAGAGCTGGCTGTATTTCAAGGAATCCCTGTTGAGGTTACAGGGACAAACCATCCCGATGAGTCGAAAGAATAGTAAATATGGCAGGCGACCAGCTTGGCTTAATGGTGAAATCCTAGCGGATCTTAAACATAAAAAAGAGGCTTACAAGAAGTGTAAGCTTACATATGACCAGGGAAGAGTATAAAAATATTGCTTGGGCATGTAGGAATGATATCAGGAGGGCCAAATCGCACCTGGAGCTGCAGCTAGCCAGAGATGTCAAGAGTAACAAGAAGGGTTTCTTCAGGTATGTTGGCAACAAGAAGAAAGCCAAGGAAAGTGTGGGCCCCTTACTGAATGAGGGAGGCAACCTAGTGACAGAGGATGTGGAAAAAGCTAATGGACTCAATGCTTTTTTTGCCTCTGTTTTCACTAACAAGGTCAGCTCCCAGACTGCTGCGCTGGGCATCGCAAAATGGGGAAGAGATGGCCAGCCCTCTGTGGAGATAGAGGTGGTTGGGGACTATTTAGAAAAGCTGGACGTGCACAAGTCCATGGGGCCGGACGAGTTGCATCCGAGAGTGCTGAAGGAATTGGCGGCTGTGATTGCAGAGCCATTGGCCATTATCTATGAAAACTCGTGGCGAACGGGGGAAGTCCCGGATGACTGGAAAAAGGCTAATGTAGTGCCAATCTTTAAAAAAGGGAAGAAGGACGATCCTGGGAACTACAGGCCAGTCAGCCTCACCTCAGTCCCTGGAAAAATCATGGAGCAGGTCCTCAAAGAATCAATCCTGAAGCACTTGCATGAGAGGAAAGTGATCAGGAACAGCCAGCATGGATTCACCAAGGGAAGGTCATGCCCGACTAATCTAATCGCCTTTTATGATGAGATTACTGGTTCTGTGGATGAAGGGAAAGCAGTGGATGTATTGTTTCTTGACTTTAGCAAAGCTTTTGACACGGTCTCCCACAGTATTCTTGTCAGCAAGTTAAGGAAGTATGGGCTGGAAGAATGCACTATAAGGTGGGTAGAAAGCTGGCTAGATTGTCGGGCTCAACGGGTAGTTATCAATGGCTCCATGTCTAGTTGGCAGCCGGTATCAAGTGGAGTGCCCCAAGGGTCGGTCCTGGGGCCGGTTTTGTTCAATATCTTCATAAATGATCTGGAGAATGGTGTGGATTGCACTCTCAGCAAATTTGCGGATGATACTAAACTGGGAGGAGTGGTAGATACGCTGGAGGGGAGGGATAGGATACAGAAGGACCTAGACAAATTGGAGGATTGGGCCAAAAGAAATCTGATGAGGTTCAATAAGGATAAGTGCAGGGTCCTGCACTTAGGACGGAAGAACCCAATGCACAGCTACAGACTAGGGACCGAATGGCTAGGCAGCAGTTCTGCGGAAAAGGACCTAGGGGTGACAGTGGACGAGAAGCTGGATATGAGTCAGCAGTGTGCCCTTGTTGCCAAGAAGGCCAATGGCATTTTGGGATGTATAAGTAGGGGCATAGAGA